TGCGATTGGGCAGAGACGACGATGTAGTCCATGTAAATGTTCAATAATGTGGAACAGGGAACAAAATTATAGATAAAAATAATATAAAACTAAATTTAGAACCTTGTTATAAAGTAATGACTCTATTTAATTTTCACGAAACAAATTTATTTGTAACTCTTGTCCGAATGAAGACCATGTTACTCAGAAGAGAAGAATACTATTGTTTAACTTTGTTTCATTATAAATTACAAATGATTTCAAATCTGAAACAATGTTTAATACATAAGAAACTTACAAATTACAAAGAATGTAATGCACAAACATTACAGAGAATGTATGACACATTTTTTTAATAATTTCCCAAATTTTAAAGCATTCAACATTGCCAAATGATCATCCATGACAACCTAATAATAAGAAATCCAAACACAAAAATTTGTTAGTAAGAATATAGAAAAGAACAGTCAAAACAGTTCTTAGAATGCTTAAATACTAAAACGCAAGATAAACTCGTTATTGGTAAATCTAAACCCTAATCATTGATCTATAAACCCAAATTAAGTCTATATAATATCCTGCAAAATTTTAGTACTGTAATATACATAGTATGAAATCTAAACTATAATCACTGATCTATAAAACCAAATATAATTCATACAATCTGGGGACATTAGTTAATAGCAAGTGTAATCAAAATAATTAAGCCTTTAAAGTAAACGTAAACAGTAATCAGTACAACATTTGTTTGGCTATAAACTAAACCAAAAGAGTGATAAGTAGCAAGTATAACATCCATTAACCCCTAATACACACAAATGTCTGATCATAAAGAATCCATAAACTACCCCAAACGGGGATAACTAAACCCTAAAATAAAGTATTAACCCTAATACATATACCATAATATGGCGACATTAGTTAATAGGAAGTGTAATCAAAATAATTAAGCCTTTAAGGTAAACGTAAACAGTAATCAGTACAACATTGAAGAAACTATAAACTAAACCAAAAGAGTGATAAGTAGCAAGTATAAACTTCAGTTAACCCCTAATATACACCATAATCCCTATATCATAATATACGCACACTTCATAACACTGATGTAACCAAAGTAAGCAAGTTGGGAAAGTGGAAGATATGTTGATCCAGATTCCATTCTATTTGTATATCATAATTCAATTCCATTCTATGTCCTGCATATTCCATTCTATGGGGTTGTAGAAGCTTTAAAAAGAGTAAACTATTTAACAAAAATATACATAGAGTGAGGTGAGAGCGATAAAACATAGAATGTCAGAGTGATATAACATAGAAAATAACATCATTGTCTGCTAATGTTCGTAAATATATATGGAGCAAGCAGCAAAAAGTCATTAAAATGAAACCTAAACATAAATTAGTACACCATTCAAGAAACTATACACCATAATCCCTATATCATAATACACGCAAACTTCATAACACTGATGTAACCAAACTAAGCAAGTTGGCAGAGAGGAAGATATGTTGAATTAGATTCCATTATATCTGTATATCTTAAAACCATTCCATTCTATATACTGCATATTCCATTCTATGGGGTTGATCATAGAAAATAACATCATTGTCTGGTAATGTGCGCAAATATATATGGAGCATGCAGCAATATATTCCATTCCGTGTGGAATGGAAATACAGATATCATAGAACAATTTGACAAAGTTGTAAAGGACTGCAAGGAAATTCTATTCTATGTAGATAAAATCTAAACTGAAAGATATATATATAGGACAAGGAGGGAATGATAAACACACGGACTCAAGGCGAAAAATCATGTATAGTTGCCAATCGATTTTAACCAATGGTTTTGAAAAGGTAGACGACAATTTCAGTGACAGATCGATGAATCTAGTAGGCGAAGGTTGTAGATTTAAGAAACCGTAAACCCTAATTCCGAAATAGAAAGTAGTAATGGAATCGAAAATCAGAGGAACTAAAGTTAAGAAACCGGAGAAATCACCTTGACAGAGAAGATCGTAGAAGAACAGCGAGTAGGAAGTATAGTTGAGAAGAGGGTGAGCGATGCCGAGTAGAGAGGGATGAGTTCTTCTGGATTGATTCAATCGGAGTAGATGGCGGAAGCGATTTCGAGAGCGGAGGACACAAAATCAGGGAGACGGAGGGGGAATCGAGGGGGTGAGAGTAGGTTTGTGTGGAGACGTTTGACTGTCTGGAGAGTTACTGGGATATGTGAAAAAGGGGTGGAGAACGGGTAGACACGATTTACAGTTTCTGCCCGAGAAAAGTAAAATAATTTAATTTATTTCAGCCGGTGAAACCAGTTTACTACAGGGATAATATGGAAACGGCGTGAGGTGATCCGTTAGGTCTTTTGGCTAGTAGGCTAAATATGGGTTTTTGTTTGGTTATTAGGCCCAATTTCCCTTGTTTAAAAGACGTTTTATAAAAAAAACACTTGCTAACTTGACAGAAAAATAGATTAATGTTTGCCATACCACTATTTTGTTCTGAAAATCGGTCGTGTTAGCTAATTTATAATATCTATATTCCTAAAATAAACTACACCAAGATTTTTTATTTGTACATAATTAATTAGCTAGTACTAAGTCAAAAACCTTGAAAATATTTTCTATATCGATGATTTATATATAGATTGAATTTTCATTCAAGATTCCCGACGACCTTGGCTTCTAGAACCACTCTCCCTCCGGTTTAATATTTTTCTGTTTTTGTCAAACCTGCATTTGCATCTCTTCAATTTCCATGATTTTTCTATTTTATCACTCGACTTTCCTATTATAAACAGTAAGTGCTAAGCACGCCCATCTGTAATGTTGCCTATTTTTGTAATCAAACAAATTGTATTAAAATATATACAGTAGAACTTTTATAAATTAATATTCGACAAATTAATATACACTAAACATCTCTATAAAATAATATAATTTTATAGTCCTAAATTGAGTTTTTATTCAATTAGTATATCGATAAATTAATATTTTTCTAAGTTAATAAAAAAATAAAATTTTGGTGTAGTCCCAACATTATTAATTTATACAGGTTTCACTATATATATATATTATTGAATGATGTCATAAATGATAGACAATGTTGAAAATACATTATCTGATGCTCGACCTCTATATATAGTAAATATAAATGACGTGTTGCAATAGTGAAGTTTTTATCCTTTAGGCCTTGAATGTCGTTTTTTTTGTCTTCTTAGTTTTTGTTGCACAATACTAAAGATTTTTTCTTGTTTTTAATGAAAAAAAAAAGACAAAATACATATCATTTAGAAAAATGTTTATTTTAAAAAAATAATTAGTTTTCTTTGTAATACAGTAACATAAATATGTTTTCTATACAACTTATACAGATTCATACATATAATACATATATTAACTAATCATATATATATATATATATATATATGTGTGTGTGGGAAAAGATTCATAAATTGTCCGAACCTTATGGCTGATCGAGTGGTAAAGGAACGGATTTAAGATACCGAGACGTTTATGTTTAATTCATTTGCTGCATAAAATTAAGTTATAGTGATTTGGAACATCCACATTGATATGTGCCTTTTTTTTTTTTTTTGAAACACATATTTATATTAATGCATATAGGGGTTAGGTGGTGACCATAAAGGCATCACCCATAACCAAACACTGTTTTGCAAGCTTATCAGCTTCATTGTTTTTTCCCCTTGGAATCCAAAAGAAGGAAATTTCCTCAAAGTAACTAGATAAACTACACACATCAGCGAGAATTCCATAGAGCTCCGGTGGAGGCTCCTTTGAGTTGATAGCTTTAACCAGTTGAGTAGAGTCCGATTCACATCGCAGTCTCTTTAAGCCTAATTCCTTACACTTCACCAACGCTTCTCTCATAGCAAGCCCTTCAGCTGCTAGGACAGACCCTACAAACGGAACCACAAGGCTAAATTCAGCCGTTGTTCTTGCTCCTATGGTTTTCACCGTCCATCCCAGTCCCGCTATTTGATCTGTAGCTCTCCACGCAGCATCAGTGTTGACCACCGAGCAATTTGGCTTCATCGGGGGTTGGATTACAACCATACTCCTCTGTGTGGTTTCTGTTTGTTGGCAGCTCATCCCTTCCTTCGCTAGACTTATAGCTTTCACTATAGTTTCTTCCTCAGAGATTATCTTTCCTTCAAAGATTAGCTGGTTTCTCGCGTACCAAAGCTGCCATAAGATCCAGGGTGCTAGTGGTCCAGTGACTATACCAGTTGGTGGTAAGCACTTCCTTGCTCATAAGTTCAACCAAACACTCTTTAAATTTATGTATCCACTTGTCTCAACTGTCACTGCAAAAGGTGCAGCTTTCCAAACTTTTTCTGCAAATGGACAGTGTAGGAAAAGATGATCGATAGATTCTGGAGTTCCACATCTTCTGCATAAATTATCTGTTGTAATGTTTCTCGCTGCAAGAATTTCTCCCACCAGAAGAGCTCTTTGGAAAAGCTTCCAAAGAAACATCTTGATTTTTGGGGAAGTATGTAGGTTCCATACTCCCTTGAACCATTCCAATCCCGCTTCTTGTGCTTCATTTGGGTCTGTTTCTAACATCCTTTTCTTCACTGCAGTATGGTAGCCTGACTTTGTTGTGTAGTCACCAGAAGGTGTGCTCAGCCAAATTTGTTTGTCCGGAGCCCCGGAGATGCTTGGTTTGATGGTCTTTATGATAGTTTCCCATTGTGGGAGTACACTTCTGATTTTTTTCCTCATTCCACTCCCTGATATGTGCCTTTCTTTCAGTCTATTTAATACTGGTGAAAGAGTTGAGTTCATTAATGAACTGCACCTTATTGAAAATTAGTTTTTGGTTCTTCCCAAGTTAATCAGAGAAGAAAAACAGATTCAGAAATTTAAGATGGAACTGTTTTAATTCTCCTGGACTCTTTGTATTAGTCTCCACTTATTTGGAGACGCCGCAGATGTGATGCTGGATTTCTGGTCTTTGAGATGCTTTTTTCATAAAATCTCATCCTACATCGGAAGAAAACTCAGTTGCTTATGGTTACTCATGTCTTATAATGTGTGCTTGGTATGAACGAGGACTGACCAATAGTACGCACATACGTTATTACAATTTTCGTAGCTTGAACATTCATCACATATTACACACACGAAGGTGTATATAAATATCTACTAAATGTACATTTTTCGAAATGATTATAATATAATAGGCAATGAAGAAGGTGGTGAAAGCTACGATTGTGGCTAACGACTGAATGCAACAGAGAGGGCGACACCAAGGACAAGCCACGCCCCAATGAAGTATCCAAGAATCCTCGTTGGTCCGACATCTTCTGGTTCCTGTACTCATAAACTCATTAGTATATCAAATCTCAAGAAACAAAGGAGAGAGGACGGTGCATATATACCTGAGGAGGAGGCTCTTCCGTGGAGGGTTCCATGATGTCAACCTCGAAGGGCCAAATGTAACGCTCTGCCTTTTCGCTTCTGGCTAGACTCCAATCGTACATTCTCCTCTCTTCAACCGACGACAAGATCGTATATGAATCCTAAAATACATGACTCTCATGAATCTCACTCACAGAGATAATATGGGAAAAATTCCAAAAAAAGGTTTTGTTTTATACTTTGACAAGCTCCATCTTGGTCTTGAGTTGCTCTTCATCTAGCCCTTGTCCCATTAGCTCCTTAACTCTCTCTTGGTAACCAATTCTTACCTGATTACAAAACACTAAAACAGTTTTATTTTGAACAGTTTTGCTAATCTGAATCAGATTCTCACTTGATATTAATGAGAGTAAAGAAAACTTGTATGACAAGTCGTCATAAATTTTATAAATAAAATAACTATTTATACTCAAGTAACGATGGTGAAATTTAGGACTCAGTTTATGACAAGAACAGAAACACACAAACCTGATCATAAGAACAGTTTCTAGGAAGCCCAAGCCGACCGTAGTGATCCACATCTGTAATGGCTGCATCCTAATACAAACCTCCATCAATTTTTTTTTCTAACAAAAAAAAAACAAAACAGAGAGACAGAGAGAGAGAGGGCTATTACGAAGGCCACGTAGAGCACGTTCGACGTTGAGAGCGGAGATTAAAGATGGAGGCTCTTTCGGTGCTTCATCTACGGCGGTGCTTGATCCACCGTTTGTTTCTCCCTCCGTCGATGTCTCACCGGAACTCCTCGTTGGGGAACAGATAATCCGCTTCGTGAGTGTTGGCTTACGCGGGAAAGAGCACGTGCTTGGTAAGTGATGAGTCACGTGTTCGCCGGGAATGTGTAGTAACGACGGTTGAGTCATTGGAGATAAGGAAGCCATGGCGCTAAAATGTTCACAACGAAAGTGACTTCGAATTTTCGATCCTTCATATTTTACTTGATAACGGCCTTATACGAGAAACACTGTCAGCCATATAAAAATTTCAATATGGATAATAAATATATTACCAATTTATTCTAGCGATATATAGTGGTTTATAGGTTGAGATAACAACAAAGTCGTTGTAGTATAGTGGTAAGTATTCCCGCCTGTCACGCGGGTGACCCGGGTTCGATCCCCGGCAACGGCGTCTTTTTTTAGATTTTTTTTTCTTTATCAAAGTTGTTTTTGAAACGCTGTCGTTCTACTTGCTTTTCAACATCTTTCCTTGGTTTACTCATCCAGTAAACAGCAAAACAAGCAACATGAATGTTCCATTTCTACAATCGAAGAGTAAATATATATATATAACATCTTTTAACATATATATAAAGTTGTTTTTGAAACGCTGTCGTTCTACTTGCTTTTCAACATCTTNTGAATGTTCCATTTCTACAATCGAAGAGTAAATATATATATATAACATCTTTTAACATATATATAAAGTTGTTTTTGAAACGCTGTCGTTCTACTTGCTTTTCAACATCTTTCCTTGGTTTACTCATCCAGTAAACAGCAAAACAAGCAACATGAATGTTCCATTTCTACAATCGAAGAGTAAATATATATATATAACAAACACCTTACTACACATCCTTCGATATGTACAGAGTCAAAGCTCATGGTTTTGCATGTCATCATCTAATTGTTCAAAAGAATTTGAGTCCAAAATAAAGAAACAAAAGATAATACAGAATATGACCAAACAGAGTTGAAGCAGTCTTTTTTTTCTTCTTTCTTATTTGTTGTTTTTACCAGAGCTCTCGCCAGATTTCCAAACCACATCATTAAGTGTGGTTGAGAGTTTCTTGTAGAACTGCAAAAAGGAAGAGTAGTAGATCATGTAAGAAACGGTCCTTGGAAGAACATTGTTCACATAGTAGAAAGCTGGATGTTATTATTATTTTACCTTATGAAACTCTAATGTATCCCCTTTAGTTTTCCGGACTTCTACCATATGAAGAGACGGTGATACTTGAAATATCTACAAAAACACATTATACTACATTAAGGTAACTTCCTTTAATTCCAAGGTTAGTTCAGATACTAATTTAGTATATACAGTACTCAAAAAAGAGTTATGAGTGCATTTAATGTACCTCAGTGGCCACTTTTAGGTTTCCTTTCCTTCCTGCATTCACGTTTTCAAGTCTCATCTGTATACCCAAGCAAAGTAGTGATTCAGTAGTAAAGTGACCAAACACTGATGATAAATATGCTAACTAAGACTTTCACCTCCTACACTAATTTACCTTATAGTTTTTCTTTTGAATATCGAAACCAAGAGGCTTAGAAGCTTCTTCAATCTTCTGTACTAATTCATTAGCAGCGCCTGTTGCTGCAAATCGTGTTTCTCTCTTGTATCCCTGTAAGTTAAAACGGTCTTTTGAGTAATAATGTGGCAAGAATAAAAACCTGAAAGTGTCTAATGTATCTGCTTTTATGACACACACAAGAAGAGTATTAGCTGGAAGAAATTCAAGCAAGTAAGTATTGTTAGTCTAAGAGACATACCTCTTCTTCTTCAAACAAGTTTCCGAGATCCAGAGCTCTCGACATTGATATCAACTCAAAGGCATTCATAGAAGTTGGTTGCTCCTCTTTCTTTTCTGTGACATGATGCTCCTGTTTCATAAAATCACATATTGTTATGGATATCTACTCAAGTAACAAATAAGGAAGCAGTTCAGTCATCATACAGATCTCAGATAACATAAATGTAACTCACTTCTGAGTCCTTGAAAACAGCTTCCACATCATCCAAGTTTGCTTCTTCTTTCTCCTCGAAAATGGGTCGTTTGTAGTTTTTCTTGAACCACGCATCTTCCAGAATCTCTTGAATTGTGATACGCTGCCATGTTAATGCACAATCAAATAGGTCCACCGTTAAAAAAATTTAAAAAAAAAGAAATTTATAAATACTTTGATGGACAAGTAGATAAAAGAGATTCTGTAGTTCAACAGAAGAAAACAAAAGGACACAGTTGAATCTTGAGAGCATTTGTAAATAGATATATCTTACAGTCACCGGGCTTGGATCCAAGATTTTGTCGATCAACTTCTTGGCACCAGGAGAGAGCCAAGGAGGACAATTATACTCAGCAGCTGTTATCTGAAAAATGATGAAATTACAACATGAAGAAAAAGAAGAACCACAAATAATGGGTGACGTCTCAGAAAAATATTACAAAAGTTCTTACCTTTTTATACAGCGTCATGAGATTAGAATCTTCGAAAGGCAGATACCCAGCAAGTAGAACAAAGAGTATCACTCCACAGGACCACAGGTCTGCGGTTGCTCCATCATAGCCTTGATCATTAAGAACCTTTGGGACAAGCAACAAGCAAGCTATTAAAAACACGGTGCAAAAAGAACATGGGAAGCCACATGACTAGGCATACCTCAGGAGCAGCATAGTTTGGAGTTCCACATGCAGTGTGAAGAAGACCATCTCCCTGACAAAACCAATCAAGTCTTAGAAGCCAAGGATTGGACTATTGTATACACATAAGAACATGCACGGCTTGAAACTACGCAGGATAGAGGGGATGTTTTCAGCTATATATAGTTTCTACTACCTTTGACAAGAACCTAGAAAGAAAAGTGCAACAGTATTATCCTAAATATTATCAGATACTTGAAAAAAATAATGGTTCAAATAATCATATTACTGAACATCAAGCATATGCAATAGACAATGAAAAATGAGTGAGCATTCAGGCAAAGTAAAGGATGCTTAGAAGAAGAAATAATTAACCCTGACTTGTCTGGACAAGGCACTCAATCCAAAATCAGAGACTTTCAGATTTCCTTGAGCATCTAGAAGCAAGTTTTCCGGCTGCAGTAAGAGAATTAAAAGATTAAAAATTATAAGCATCAGTTAGCTGCACTTCAAAAAAGATAGCACATCCTGCAAACATGGGCTCAAGATTTACCAAAAAAAGGATGTCTCAGTACCTTTAAGTCTCTGTGGTACACTCCTCTGCTGTGGCAGTAATCAACTGCATTGATAAGCTGCTGAAAATATTTCCGTGCTGCATCTTCTTGCAAGCGCCCATCATGTACCTGCACGAGTTTACAAGTAATGCAAAAGTTTAAAAATCAGAGATACAGAAAAAGATTCTAGTGTTAATGTTTATCAAGATATTTGATATATGATTCAAACACCAAAAGAGACAAGTTATAAAGCCTCTTGGAGGGATAAGGAAATCTCACAATTTTGTCAAAAAGCTCTCCACCAACGCCGAATTCTAGGACAATGTATATCTTTGTCTTGCTCGCCAAAACCTGTAACCGTACCAATGATTTCCTCAAAAGTTAGCTTTCCACAGGGAAAATAAAGACACAAAGAGAAAAAATGGGAGGAAGGAGAGAGACCTCATAGAGACGCACAACATTAGGATGGTTTATGAGCTTCATAGTAGAGATTTCTCTCCTTATCTGTAAAACCAAACAGAGGAGAGCCACATCATAATTTTGTTAAAGACAGATCTATTTTTCTAACATTTATGTTTCTAGAAACCAAGATTCATTTATGTTTACCTGTTCAGACATCTTGTTTTTGAGAACCTTCTCTTTATCAAGAATCTTAAGAGCAACAGATTCTCCAGTCTCAGTGTTCTTAGCATACCTAACTTTAGCAAAAGTGCCTTGTCCAATAGTCTTTCCAACCTCATATTTACCAACACGACGCTGTACTTTAGGCCTATTCATCACTCCCAGAGTTCAAACTTCACAATCTGTGTTTGTTTCCAAAAAAAATGTTAAAACTCCATAAACAGAATATTCCATGTAAAGATTCCAACAATAGTCCAAACCATCAAAATGGTCATACAAATATGAACTGTTAGGAGATCTCAGAGATCACAAGATCCTCTAGAGTATATAAAAATATGCACACTTCAAACACACAAAACTAAAACCCTAAACAAAGTGATCAAACTAATTCAAGATCACAATTCAAGAAAACAAAAAGATGGAAGATCACACCTGCAAAATTGGTAGGAGAAAAAGAGAGCAAGTTGTGGTGAGGAAGGACTTCACGGAGCTGAAAGAGTTGGTAAGCTGATTCAGAAGAAAGAAGAAAAATAATATATGGTGGAGGGAGAGAGATGCGAGAGGATGGACGAGAGATACGATGATTGTTAAATTGAAGCTAACAGACAAACTTATTCATTTCGCCGTGGGGACGACTACAATGACACTTTGCTTTTTTCATTTTCGTATGGGACAACTATACTTTCAATTTTTTTTCTTTCTTTTTCCCTTTTAGTTTTTTTGCTTCTTCTTAAAATGTATATACTAATAGAAGATTTTCTTTTACCTATTTTTGGTCAAATTATCTTGAGTTAACTAATGCAAATGCCAAAAGATTCGAGTTTTTTTTTAAAAAGATTTGAATAGATAGCGTTACAATCTTTTTCTTTATCTTTGTTTTTTTTATTGTTTTTAGAATGTTTGAAAGTTAATCCCAAAAGTTAGACTTTTATAGATTACCATCTCTACTTTTAATCATGTTTGTGACTAATAATATTTTTTATTTAAATTATTAATTTTAATTGTGTTTATGACTTTTTTTCTATTTTATTAAAACTTTTATAAATAACATAAATTCATACATAACAATTTACTAAAATTTTGATAGTTGTATCAGTTATAGATACAAATATAGAAGAATTCAATATTATATGAACTTTATAGTTAATCAAAAATATCTTTTCTAAATGATATGTTTTTTTTTTAAAGGAGATTCATGACAAACTTTGTGTTGATATCTTCTAATATCTACCCATCTAAATTTAATACTTTGTATCTTCAGTGTTAAATTGCAAAAAATAAATGTCAGTTCTTAATTGATGTATTGTTGAAATCTTCTACTAAACATGTTTTGTCAAATAGTATATTATTAGTATGTCCTATACATCTTACAAAGATCAAAAAACTAAAAGCCAGTAGTAGAAAAAAAGCTAAAAGATACTATAGCACATAAGGAAGAAAATCACCAAAGTAGTTTTGACTAAAACTAAAAAAGTTTACTTTTGTTTTTTAGTAATTAGAATTTATGGTTTAGTATTTAGAGTTGGGATTGAGGTTAAAATTTAGGATATAGTGATAATTGTGTTTATATTGATCAATAAATGCCATTCACTATTTTTTTTCTTCAAAAGCCCATCAAGGCCCAATATCATACACTGGGCTCTCTTTATAATCTCTTACAAGGGAGACCGAAAAAGAATCAGTCTCGTAACTTTTGTCGGATTTCCGGAAAAGAACAAAAAAAAAGCTTAGAAGAAAATGGCGGATCAGCTCACCGATGACCAGATCTCAGAGTTCAAGGAAGCCTTCAGCCTCTTCGACAAGGATGGAGATGGTAACGTTCTTTCCTCAGATCCTCGTGCCTTTTTTTCCTTTATCTCTCTCTATACTCGTCGATCTTTGTGTTCCTTAGTTTTTTTTTGACGATTCATGATCTTTCGTTTTTCTGATACAATCCGTTTTTGTTTCACTTGATTTCGTGAGCGATCTATTTTTTTTCCTGTAAACGATTCATGACTTGTGTTTGTTTGTTGTCTCGCTGGATCTCTTAAGATTTGAATGATCGAGATCTTTTTCATGTGAAGAATGTTCAGCAATGAAATTATTCATGAATCATATTGTTGAATTCATAGATCATTGAATTGGTTTTTGAGAGGTACATAAGGAAACATGGAATAAACACAGAATATTCCATTTTTATTCCACACTTTAAGAAGATTGTTTTTCTCTCTTAAAGATTTTTATCTTTTTTACCTTTTTCAGATCTTCAACAGTTGTAATAAGAAATGATGTTCTAAAAATATGATAAATTTGATGTAAGTCTTGTCTCTAAAGCTTGTAGTAACTTTGGTGTGGTTTCAGGTTGCATCACCACCAAGGAGCTTGGAACCGTGATGAGGTCTCTAGGTCAAAACCCTACCGAAGCTGAGCTTCAAGACATGATCAACGAGGTCGATGCAGATGGTAACGGGACCATCGATTTCCCTGAGTTCCTGAACCTGATGGCGAGGAAAATGAAGGACACTGATTCAGAGGAAGAGCTCAAGGAAGCGTTCAGGGTTTTCGACAAAGACCAGAACGGTTTCATCTCTGCAGCGGAGCTTCGCCATGTGATGACTAACCTTGGGGAGAAACTAACTGATGAGGAAGTTGATGAGATGATCCGTGAAGCTGATGTTGATGGTGATGGTCAGATCAACTATGATGAGTTCGTTAAAGTCATGATGGCTAAGTAAGTGAGTGAGAGAGTGAGAGTCTTCTTATCCCTTTGTTTAAAAAAGCCTTTAACCTAAAAAGATGATACATTGGCTTTGATTCTGGTTGTGTTCTTTAGGACATGTTTTTTTTGCTTCTTTTCTCGTTTTTATTTGTCTGCTTTGGCTAAGCTATCTCTTTAGTGTTATGTCAAGTATGAACTTCATGTTTTGCTTATCCTTTGACGATTTATATTCTCTCCTTTTTATTGGTTATAATCTATGTTGTTTCTCTTAAACAATGTTCTTGAAATTTTGCTGCCAATCGAATTTTAATGGATACCTGAACATCCATGATTTGATCAATCTCTTCTTAACCGGTGATAAGTTGGTTGAAGATAACAGTGAATTGGTTATGTGGGGGAGTATAAAATATAACAAAGATGTACAAAAATGTTTTTGTACAGAAAAATGTAATGTTTGCTTCCTCAAACTTTGGTTAGCTTTTCACACCCATGAACTTGGTTTCATCTCTAAAGCCAAACAACTCTACATGGATTTGCAAAACTCCCAGCTTCCCTAATCTGGTCTCTGCACAACACCACCAAAACATTCCGCCTCAAACCAAACTTGGACTTGATGCATAGCTTTGGTTTCTCAGGCACTCCCTTTAAGAACACAGGACTTCTCGTTGAGACGATATGATTAGGGATATTGAGTTTGGAGGAAGCTGAGAAAGAAGATCCTAACGTATTGGCCTCGCTATTGTTAGAAACACCAATAGCTTTCCATCCATCAGCTATGAGTTGCATAGTCTTCCTTGTGGGAACAACATTCTTCTTCTCCATATCTTTTAAAAGCTCTTCCGCTTTCCATGGCTGCTTTGCTTCCCCAAACCCCCACATAAGAGTTTCGTAGGTAGTCAAGTTAGGCGATAAACCAACCGTTCCACACATTTTGTTATATACCTGCATGGCCTTTTTCATTTCACCGGCGCTGCACCAACCGCTTATGATCGTTGTGTAGATCACCACGTTTGGCCTAACACCGAACTTCCTCATCTGATTCAAGATTTGCTCTGCCTTATCCGGCTCTCTAGCTCGAGTATACCCTTTGGCTAGGATGCTAAATGCATGAATGTCTGGATCTATTCCTCCTTCCAACATATCTCCATAGATCTCTTCACATCTTTTCATGTCTCCTACAGAGCTCCATGCATTCATTAGAGTGCTGAATGTAACCACATCAGGTCTTACTCCGAACTCTTCCATCAGATTTACTACCTCGCCAACTCCATCCATGTCGTTGTTGGCAAGGTAGCCTTTGATTAGAGAGTTGAAAACAAAGAGATTTGGATGAACTCCAAGTTCTTTCATTCTATAGAAAAACCTTAAAGCTTCTTCCATCTTCCCTTCTTCACAGTAGCCATTCATAATGGTACCGCAGGTACGTACATTCGGTTTAACTTTGCTGTGTAACATTCTCGGTATGATCATATCCTCAGCTGTGCATGTTGAACCGATCCGCGCATAGGCTCGTGCCAATGTGTTAAACGTGACTACATCAGGTTTCACCCCATAAGACTGCATCTTATACACAATGTTCCAAGCTTCTTCAATCCTCCTCTGGTTACACCAAGCCTGTACAAGTATGTTACATGTTCTGTCATTTGGTTGGAGCATCTCCTCGCGTAGCATCATCTCCAGGAGTCTTGAAGATTCCTCCAGCTTACCGATTTTGCCGTATCCTTTGATGAGTGTGTTAAACGTACTTGCTGTGGGTTTACATCCACTCTCCTTCATTTTTTCGAAGATCTTCATCGCTTGGTCGAGGTTTCCAGACTCGGAAGAGGCGTTGATGATGGCGTTGAAGAGAATGGTGTCTGGTTTGAGGCCGTTTTTCTCGACTTTGGAGATGAGAGAGAGGAGAGAGTGGAAATGCTTTTGCCGGGTTAACGCAGTTACGAGAGTGGTGTATGTGATGATGCTTGGCTTGTGGCCTTCTTCAATAAGTGTGTTGAAAATGGAATGAGCTTCTTGAGGTCTCCCTCGTTCTATCAAACCGTTCATTAGTTTGGTCCTTGAACGAACATCGCCACAAGTTGTACCGCCTGAACATATCACACAAGGATATGACCTCAGTTGCACTGTCACAGCCTGTGAAGGAAAAGAATACGTTATCTCAAACCTCTGTAAGTGAAAGAGCATTCTAAACATAATCAAGTCTAGAATGATTAAACCCTTCAATTCAATCATTCTACATATAATCAGATAGATGAATGACTCACTTCTGAATCTTTAAAAATAGCTTCCACATCAGCTAAATTTGCTTCTTTCTTCTCTTCAAACACGGCTGGCTTGTAATCTTTCTTGAACCAGGCATCGTCCAAAATCTCTGGAATTTTGATACGCTGGCATGTAAACACATTCAATTAGTTCCACCACTGAAATCAAGGACAAGTGGTGTTATTTTAACCACATATGTTTTAAACAATCAAGTTCGACATGCAAGACACAGGTCAAGAATCCGCTTAGTGTGACTATAAGAAGCACGTATTCATGGGACTAACAACTCCGGCATAAGGACCATAAACTTTTGAATATTTTTAGACAAATGATAGATCTACCAGGGAGTAGCTTATTTCATTCAGAATCAGCAAGAATGGAACATTGATAGAGTTCTAGTCTTTCCACAAGAATATTTGGGATAATCAAATATGATATCTGTAAATCTTGAAAGCAATGGTAAACGGAATATCTTACAGTCATAGGGTTTGGATCCAAGATTCGGACTATCAAGTTTTTAGCACCAGAAGACAGCCAGGGAGGACAACTGAATTCAGCAGATGAGATCTGAAAAATGACAGAAGTGTGACATAGAAACAGGAATCACAAATAATGATGAGGAAGAATCCTGAAAATACATTGCAAAACTTACCATTTTGTTTAGAGTCGTGACATTAGAATCCTCGAACGGCAAGTAACCAGCAAGTAGCACAAAAAGTATCACTCCACAAGACCACAAGTCTGCAGTTGCCTCGTCGTAGCCTTGCCCATTAAGAACCTTGGGACAAGAGTAAACAAGCAAACTTTTAAAAACATGTTGCAAAAACCGCATGAGAAGCCGTATGATTATGAATACCTCAGGAGCAACATAGTCTGGAGTTCCGCATTCAGTGTGAAGAAGACCACTCCCCTGCCAAAACCAAGTAATTCCCATAAGCTGAGAATCTAGAAAGATCAGTGTTATCAGATATTTGTTAATAGCATCATTACTAAACGTCAGGCACAGTCATTGGAGAATCAGACAAGAACAACTCAGTAGGAACTCATGCAAATAAAAATGATGGAAAGAGAATCAAATTCAGTGGTTACCAACCCTGACTTGTTGGGACAATGCACTGAATCCAAAACCAGAGACTTTCAGATTTCCTTGAGCATCAAGAAGCAAGTTTTCCGGCTGGCATTGAGAGAAACAAGAAATTTAGGCATTTCGATTAGCCTGCACTTATAGGAAACGTTGTTGTACCTTTAAGTCCTTGTGGTACAATCCCCTGTTGTGACAGTAATGAACTGCATTGATAAGCTGCTGGAAGTATCTACGTGCTTCCTCTTCTTCCATGCGCCCATCATTTTTCTTCACAAGTTCAAATTTAATGCATTGCTTAAAAACCAAAAATTAATGTAACTTCATCTGTGAAATACATGAGCATGAGGCATATATGATGCATGATTCCAAACACCAAAGAGTACAAAGTTAAGACCGTTTGAAGGGCGAGGGAAAACTCACAATTTTGTCAAATAGCTCGCCACCACTGATGAACTCTAGGACCATATATATCTTCGACTTGCTCGCCAGAACCTAGAATGATATCAAACTTTTATAACAGATTTGCTTCGAATCCAAAGAGATCTCAATTCCTGACTAGACCAAGTAAAACAGAGACAATTATAGAAAAATAGGGGGGCATAGAGATGGACCTCATACAGCTGCACTACACTCGGATGATTTATCAGCATCATCGTACAAATTTCTTTCTTTATCTGTAAAAGCAAATGAGAATGATGCACATCACACTTGCGGACTTAAGACGGATCTATCTGTGATTCTCAATTGTTGAAACCATGTTTTACTTGCAAGAAATGAAAACGGGCGTATCAGTTACCTGTTCAGACATGTTAGTTTTGAGAACTTTGTCTTTATCAATGAATTTGAGAGCAACGGATTCTCCTGTCTCAGTGTCCTTAGCATACCTAACTTTAGCGAAAGTGCCTTGTACAATCGTTTTGCCAACCTCATATTTACCAACCCAACGCTTGACTTTTGGATCACTCATCACTCCAGAGTCAGAGTTCACGTCTTGATCTTCACAAGCTGTTACAGAGAAAATGTATCTAGTCATCTCTATAGAATCCGACACATTCTTTTCTCAATTTACAAAAAAAAAAAGACTAAATGCAACTATAGTTCATGTATTGCACACGTCCAAATTCTCCACTAACCAATAATCGTACCCATATATGTACAAGTAAAAGTGAGATTGTCGAGTTAGCTACATGATAGATCATCATCATCCTCGTAAATTTTAGACTGTCTACACCTCTACACTTCCTACACGCGTGAATCATTTCTTTGAATCGAAGCAGAACATGGAAACACACCTGCGAAATGGCTGGAGTTTCTCGAGAAAAAAAAAAAGGGAAGCAACTAGAGTTGAAATCGCATGCACAACTCAAAGCTTTGCAGGAGAATTCAGTAATCAATAGCTCAGAGTTCGTTTATCGAAGGAAAGAGGGAGAGATAGAGGTAGTAAGTGTGACAATGCAGAACAGAGAAGATCGAGAGTCGCGTGGAGAACAGACTCTCATCGCTTCTGCAACTTGATTGATCGGTCTCAGTTACTCGCCCAATGCCTTCTTCTTTCTCCATACTCCATCGTGTGGCTCACTTTATCACACGCTCTCTCTCTCTCTTTTTTTCTTTCTCTTTTATCTTTTTCTTATCCAAAATCTCAATTTACAATAGATACAACCAAAGTGCGATGACGTGGATTATTGATGAGCCAGTGTAATTACTAACACTTTTTCTCATTGGCTAGTTATTTTTGTCCCAACAAATATATTTTCTATTTTCTTTATTTAAAACTCCCTTTTTAACCTGACTCGATTCTTTTTCTTTGAAAGGAAACAGGAGTATACGTGTCTGGTTTGTAGCAGAGAAATGTATTTCACAGTCTTTTCTTTGTTACAATGAGAAACTTGTACACAAAGGCACAAAACAAGGCAAGAAGAAGGTTAATAAACTCGGAAATCTTGGGCACTCACTCACTATGAACAACAACGAGCAAGTTCTCACAGAACTGAGAGATGAAGAGAGAAAAAATAGAAGAAGATAACGTGGCATTGATTTCATTCATTTCGGTTTTACCGTGTGAGCGGTTTGTAGAGGACAACAGTTATGTACTTAGACTCGAACCTGTGTGTTAATCCCAAAGCTACAATGGATTGTGGAGTCCATCCTTGCTCTATGAACACATGGTTTAGCACCACATGCTGAGGCTTTTTGGCTACTACGGCGGTTTCTTCACTTTTGCCAAGAAGTGTTAGATGCAGCTGAGGTGGCACCGCTAGTGGATCTTTTGTGTAATCCTCTGCCGTTGGAAGAGCTTGACCGTAGCTATGATCAGGTGACGGTGGCGCCTGGAACTCCACTATGCTTTCTGGGTTTTCCGGCACAAAATTCTGCATGATGATTTGTGGAGATACTATTTATTAGATTGACTAATACGCTTAACATGAAAAAGAGGGTGTGGGAAATATACTTACATGAACATCGAGAATGTTACACACATTGCCCATTTCGTCTGATACAAAGGGTAAATCTGGGATGTGTTTGCATTCACCATCGACGATCACCTTATAGTGGTATATGCCAGATGGAAGGACTAAGAGAATTGAGTGGTCCTTTCCAGCTTTATGCAGCTTCTTCCTGTGAAATGTAAAAAATGATCTATATGTTTCAATATAAATACACATCTGTTAGAGAGCAAATTCCTGAGAAACAAATCAACTTTTATACCTTGATCTCCAATTGTCCCATGATCCTTCCACAGCCACATCATTACCTCCCTGGTTCCATGTAATGATAATAGGGATTCCTGGCTCTTCGAGATGATCAAAAACTCTTTGAGATTGGCTCCACTGGATCCTATTAGGCGAAGGAGGTGCGTTTGCCCTCTGCAACGGAGCCACTGGAACCTGATACATGCACACACAACTGAGCCGTGAGATTTTTCCAAACCAAGTGCGAGAAGAATTTGCGAATGTACCATCTGACACGAAATGCAGCCATTATGTACACATGTTAAGCCTAAACAATGGAAGAAGTGACGCATAGTTGACCCAATGGCGTTAGATGTAAGGTGACATAACAATGAGAGCTGAAAAGAAAAGGAGCGGAATAATGAACGCAGCAAACAATAGAATGAGAAATTTACTATGATATAGTCAAGCTCTGACTAGCAAACGATATCTTACTGTTCCTACCAAAGCCTGATAAGCCACAATGAATTCTCTCAAGTAAACTCAAGCTCTGCGTGTTTTAAATTCAAAAGGGCTCAGAAAGGAAGAAGAAGCTTGTCCACCCAATCCAAATGAAAGCAAACAAACACGACACAGAAGTCTCATGATGGGACATCACATTCCACAATTCACAGTTACAAACAACACAAAGAGAAGCGGCAACTTGTAATGACCAGAAAGCAGCAAGGAAAAAAAAATCAGCATCAAAACCTAGAGAAACAAGAACTAACATCCTATTAGTATAAACTTTTCCACACTAGGCAAGGCCTAAACAAGACAACAAATAAGAGCTAGCCGAAAGCAGATTCTCATTGTAACTTAACAAAAGAAATGGCATAGCAATAAGGTAATCTAGGAATCTCCTTCTGCTAAAAGATGATGAATAACTTCCTAACTTCTCAAAGACTAGAGTTTTTCACTTCTACAGAACCAAACAGACAACCGAATCAAGTCCAATTTCTTTTTTACCACCCAGACAAAGTGTTTCGTCTTGCAGGATTGCCCTCTTCACAATGAAAGCAAAGATACATTACACAAAGACATCAACAATCATACCATGAGAGTAAATGACCATGTAAACAGTAGAAAGCGGCTGGAGAATAAAACAAATACAAATAAAACAGCTAGTAAACCGAAGTAACATCTTCAACCAAATAACAATGCATTATCTCATGATCGTAGAACGAAGATGACAAAAACAACATCCTGTAGCAGAGAATCTCAAACACTTTACACGCCTAAATAAAAAAGCCTTAAAAGCAAGTTTATCTAAACCTTTCACGCAGGTAAACCCCAAGCAAGTAGAACAAGTACTCAACCAAATCAACTTCAATTCCTCTATACGAAGAGCGTTTATCAATAAAATGCTACATACTTAGTTGTTTGGATCCTAAGCAAATCTAATGAAGAGAAACCTCTCAGTGAATGGAACATATGAAAACTCAATTCACTTTCCTACGAGTAAACTCTATTTCACCTTCAACGATAGTTCAATCGGATCATCCAAAACCAAGCATCAAATTCAACGAGTCAACACATACTATATAACTATAGAGAGAAGAAGTAAACCTGAGGAGAGAATAAGAAAGGAGAAGGAGATCGAGCGGGGCTTCCGGGAGGAGAACTGCTCATAGAGTCTGTAGAAGGACGACGTTGACGACTGCTGACGGAAGCATCGCCGCCGTTAGATCTCGCCGAAGATGACGTGGCAGCATCTGCGTCGACAACAGCAGAGACGGCGTCGTCTTCTTTTCCGTTCGCATTTCCCATCTCAAACCCAAATCACAGAAGAGAGAAGCAGACGTGAAGAAAAAATGGAGGGAGGATGAAGAGGAGAAGTTTATTAAAGAACCCTGGAGTTAGGGTTTAATTACGAGGAATGCCATTTTGAAGGGGCTATTGTGAGAGATATCATTAAAATCTGTACCGAATGGATAAACGAGTGACTTGGCATCCAAAAAGTAGATGATTATCCACTTATTTAGATTTTACAAAAATTCTCATATCATATTTGCAATCATCTGAATAGTGTGCATATGAGTTTTTATCCATTCAATCATCAGAATAGTCATATGAGTTGTTAACCATTCTAAATTTTTGAATGATTCATACATAACATGGCTAATAGCTAAATTGTGTTGGTTACATTATAAACATTTTAGAGTGACAAGGCAGATCCATATGCTGTATTTTGTCTAGCTAGAGCTACTATATACAAAAAAAAATCAAAAATATATGTATTTTTTATCACAATATCTTTTTTTTTTATCACAGTAGATGTGTATTTTGGTCTCACTATTAAACAACACTTGCAAGATTTTTTAAGAAATATGAAGATGTCACAAATCTAAATTCAGACCAACTTTAAATAGAAGGTGTTTTTGACCATGTCTCTGGATATTCAAATAAGACATACAACATAATTTGATATATGTGTGGTCACGAAGATATAATTAATCGAAAGGAAAATTCCATATAAATACCCCAACTAAATTTTATTAAGCTTTTTAATACCCAAATTTTTTCACTACCCAATTTAATACCTCAACTAATAAGTTTGCCCACTTTAATATACAAACTTTTATAACTGTGCCCATTTTAATACCCAAACTTTGTTTATTTTAATTAACAATACTAATAAGTTTCAAACAAAATTTAAAAAATCTCTAAAATCTAAGAAAAAATATTTAAAATTTCTAAGTTTACTCTAAGATTTAAGAAAGAAGGTAAATAATCTCTGGAGAAAATTTAAATGTTTAAAAAAAAAAAAATTTGAAAGGAAAAAAAATAATTTACTTTTTATTTCAGAAAATAAACTAAATTCAATATATAAAACTTAAAAAAATTATTACAAAACTTAAGATTATAAAAAAATTATTTTATTGCATTTCTCTAACATATAATAAAATCAATTTTTTTGGTAAAGTTTAGAAATTTATTGGAAACTTATTCGTATTATTAATTAAAATAAACAAAACTTAGGTATTAAAATAAACGCGGTTATAAAAGTTTATGCATTAAAATAGGCAAAATAATTAGTTGGGGTATTAAACTGGGCAGCAAAAAAGTTTGGATATTAAAAAACTTAATAAATTTAAGTTAGGGTATTTATATGGAATTTTCCCTTAATCGAAATGGTACGTTTTAAACTCGAGTTGTTTAGACTTTCCAAAGATCCACCTTACCACTGAACCACATCCGTATAGTTAGCACTTGCAAAGTTGTAACTATGTTCTAATTTATATGGGCAGTAACAACATTATTATTAGTGTACTTAGTATGGTGTGCATTGAAATTGTTTTCACTTATTTACTATAGTAAAATTCAAGAGACTAGATTTGGTTTTGGATCACGGTACAACACACTGTGGTCAACTTGAAAACCTAAATACATATATAAGAACCTTTAACTTTTTTCCCAAGAGTGAGAACACAAGCAATAAACCCATTGGATTTCTTTCTCAGTTTAAGTCCCAGCTCCCAAAGATGGACTAATCTTTGTGACATGATTATTTCAGTTCGTTGAAAAGAACTTTGAAGCATAAATAAAAGCCTACAGGCTACAATGACCGCAATTGTAAGCCTCGTACGTTTTAAAAAAAGTATTTTCTCTTTACAATGGATGATTGGTCATTGCTGACAAGAAAATCGATTACCCTTTTATTCTAGGGGAATTGCATTGTATGACGCAAAATAAAATTATAATTCACTCTGTGACTATTTACCCTAAATCTCGCCGATACATGTAGTATAATATGTAATATTGCAGTTATACCCTTAATGTAACCGGTGCAACCTACAAAAGAAAATAAATATAATTAGTTATTATTTACAGAAAAGGTTAAACGTGGCTATTCCTTTGTCAT